CAGCACTGATTGTTGTTGTTGTTTTTCTTTTTACATGTCAAGAAAAAAAGCTTGGATGAATAGTAGTGGTGCCGATTTATTTTGCTGCAGAGGGAACGAATCTCTTGCTGACCAGCTGCTGGCACAATATGTGCGCTGTGATTTTATATCCTGCACTTTCTAGAGCTAATGCTATTTATGCAACGTTTTTGTTTGTTCGACTTCTAACTAGTAGTGTGTCAAGGGAAATAAAATCTTATTTTCTGGAAGTGACTTTTCTCTCATTGCAGATGTAACTTTTCCTTGACGGTGTTCCCATTAGCTACTTATGTAATTGTTGAACTCCTTTCAACAACTCTCTCCATTAATGAGAAAATATGTTATCAGAAAATCTAGTAGATAGTCTATTTGATTAGGAAAGTCTTTTAAAATTTAAAAATCTGCAAAGTTTGAAACTTAGAAGTTTTAAAATTTTTCAATCCTTTTCGATTCTGAGAGGCTATAAGTATGCCTAACTTTTTTGGTTAGGTTCATCAGAATTTTAGGCTGCCTAATTTGTTTTTGCTGTGCATATAAACATCTTGAGATGAAAAAGAGTTTCTGAACGGAAATAATTTTTCTGCAGTTTGTTCCCAGCCAAAAGTAATTTTTTTCAAAAGCAATTTAGATTTCAACGAATAGCCTTTCTCCCCGTTTTTAAGGAACACACTATGGATGGAAGAAGAAAACGGGACTCACCACTTTTCTCCTCTGCATCCCTTTCCGTGCGCTGGGGTGGGTCAGAGTTCAGGGTTTTTTCGGAGCGAGCTGCTGGCTGGTGCCGAGGCCGCTCCTTCAGGCGGAGGGGTTAGTGATGGACGTGCAAAGGGCCGGAGCCCCCCCGCTTCCAGAGGTGCTGCGGCTGGGGGCTCCTCGGGGCACGCCAAGCCGGGCGCGGTGGGACGTGCCGCTGGGCCTTTGCTCCGTGCCTTGGGTGCAGAGCTGCCGAGCAAAGGCACGGTGCCCGAGGAGTGGATTTTCCTCTCCCTGTAGGCTATAACTGAACGTCTTAAGGTTTGGTTGGCTTATGTGAAGCCATATCTCTCTATCGAGAAAATGTTCTCTGGAGTATCTGCTGACAAGTGCCAGATTTTAAATGATCTCTCACACTGTAGTTAGAGAACATTAAATAGGGATCGAACAAAATAATCAATCAAGAAACAAGATGCTGCTTGTGGTCTAGATGGGAATCTTGTCTGCCAAGAAAGCAGAAGAGTGTTGTTTTTTTTAAATCGGGCTCAGTCTAGATGCACAGCCTGGAAGAACAGCATCAAAACGTCACATTTATCATCCTCTGGCTGCCGGCCATGTTGGCAGAGAGGCTGGGGAGGGACGGTCAGGAGGCCTGTTTGGGTTTTTGTAAAGCTTAATTGGCAACGGGGTATTAGAGAGACAGCACAGGCTTCGGAATCGGAGGGCGAGATGGCATTAGTTGAGTGGGAAGTTGGTTTTGGTCTGCGGTGTCTCTGGTGGAGAGAGGGTCACGGCAAAATGAGTCGCCGGCGTGACAACTTCAAGTCCACTTAGATGCTCTCAGGATGGCGAGGACTTGGAAGTCAAGGTTCCAGGCGCAGGGGGTGTTTTTTGAATGTCATCATGGAAAATCGTGACCCGAGTTGCTTTGTTTTAGCAATGTAAGACATTGGATTACAGCTCAGGGGTGTTTCTTTTCAGTAGCTCAATATATTGAGCCATTTAAAATTAGAGTTATATTGCACTTTTATTAAAATGCCTTGCTAATAACCTCTTAATAGAAAATTCTGAAGTGGTTTTATGATTTTTGCTAGAAGAAATTCTCTTGCAATAAAGTCTCTCTTCTTTAAGAGGCCCAAACCTCCTCCCCTGAAGAACCTTGCGTTGTTTCCGATGTGGTGTATGATTTTTATACTTCAGTTGTGCGTACTGTTTAAGTTAACATTTGTCACGAAACAAAATGAAACATTCAGAATTTTCAAATCCAGTTAATTATAGACACGTTTAAAAGCACGCTTAGATGCTTATCTAATAGTAATTATTAGTAATCAGTAGTAATTTTAACTCTTTCATTCTAAAATTAAACTCTCGGTGCTCAAATTCCTTGTGGAGTAAGACCTTACTTTGCTGTCCTACAGCGTTTGGAAGTGGTAAAACAGTAATGGCAGCGTGACGGCAGTGGATCGGTCTGGTCTGTGAAACAACCCCTGCACCCAGGTTTTCGTGAAGCCTGCTCCTCCCGTCTCCGTCGCGTAGCTGGTCAAGGAGAGGAAAACTGTTTGGTGGCTTCGGGTTAAAATCTGAAGGAATAAACCCCTTTTGTCCAACCAGTTACTGTTTTACTTTCCTACGTGGTAGAGAGAACAAGGAGGATGAAGTCAGAGTAACCTTGCTTTCTGGAAAAGCAGCCAGTGCTGGGAATGGGAGTGCCAACTGCCTTCTCGTGACAGATTCACAAAAATAGGTTTTTAATCATCCTACTCCAATGTGTATTTTGCTCAATGTTTACAGATCTGGTAAACTCTGAATATTCTGCTTTGCACATTTGCATAGCAAGGAGATGCTGAACTTCAACGCCCAGAGAAGATGGATATTTGGGAGTAGTGTCTAATCCCAAGTTAATACTTTGTATTACCAGCCAAGCATTTGGGGGACAATCCTCTCCCAAGATACTTTTCTTTTTGTCATTTGTTGAATGAAATGCCTAAAGAACCGTTATTGCATCGATCAGAAATACTCTGAGTTTGATAATCGAGAAATTACTCTTGCTTAGTGGAGCCTCGTGGTAAACTCGGGATATTCTAGGAAGGATTAAAGGCCTTGAATTAATTTCTGTGAAGTTGCTGTGTTGATGCTCTGGCCTTTCCCTGCCCGGCACAGACCAAAAGGCAGAGCAGCGCTGTCAGCTCAGGAGCCTTTTTCCCTAGATCTGTTAAACCTTGATCATCAGAAGATGAATCTCTCAAAAGCTTGTCCCTCCTCTCTGGGTGGCTCTCTATCTGTCAAAGGTATAAATCTCGTACGATGAAACTGCTCAGTACGCAGCCAGCTTTTTTACCCTTCAAGCTGTTGAAATGTAGGATAATCAAAACGGGCTTAGTTCGCTGTTTTAGTCAAAGCAGGTCAGTACTTGCTAATTTAAATGCTCAGAAAGGTAGGGTTTATTCTGATGGAAATTAAGGTCTTGTACTGAAACAAGGAGTAGTTTTTATGAATGGGATGTGGCCCAGGGTCTCCTGCTCTGATACCACAGTAATTAGTCTCGGCATAGAGATCCGAATGGAGTGGCTGTTCATCCCTGCTGAGGATTAACAAGATGTTGGAAAAAAGAGAAGGCTTAAATTCTGTTGAGAACAAGGTAAGAGAGGATGTAGGTGGTGTTTCATACGATTCCGGTTTTCTCATCATCAGGGCGTTTTATTCATGTGAATAAATACTTTGTAGGCCTCTTTCTTACGTAGGTCCCCTTTCCTTCTGTAGAGCTTTATAGCAAATACTAAAAAAGTACATACAGTAATGGGAGCTTTAGGTTGAGGGTAATACAACGCTCCCCTTGAACTTGAAATAACAAAAAACCTGCTGGGGGAGCAGTCCGGTTGGCGAAAGGGTGCTCCTCCGCTGGGTGAAGGCTTGGCCGGGCTGGGAAGTAATTGTATGAAGGTGCTGCGCTGGAGCTGGGTGTCCGTGGCGTGGCTCCTGCAGGAGGCTGTGCCGGCGGGCGCCGTGCCCTGCTTCGGACGGAGCAGGAACGTTTCTGTTGGTGGGACCCCGAACACAGGCGCTCGGTCGCATTGGCCAACTGGGAAAAGACCAAAGCAGAAGACGACACTGAAAAGCTGTCCCTCCTTTGTATCTGGCTTTCCCTCCCAAATACGTTGTGTCACTTGACTCAGCAGATCGGGAAAAGCCAGGAATTGCTGTGTGGGGCCGTGAAAACCCCACAGAAATCATTTCTGCAGCATACGCTTTGCTCCGGGACCTCCTGCCTGGGCTGCGGGACAGCCCGGGTAAATAGGATAAATATTTGCCTCTTTCTGCAAATTTGTGTTACTTTCTGAGTATATTTGTTTTCCAAGTGCTTAATGAGGTAGGCTTTGCTGGTCTTGTTCACCGCTAGGACTAGAAAAGAGCCCACAACTGCTGTCGAGGCGTGTAAGCTGTCTGTGGCTTTCTCCGGCCGTCGGCCGCTCTCGGGTGGCAACCTGGGCCGCGGGAGATGCTTGCCGTCACGGCCGCAGCCGAACCGAGGCACGGAGCTGAACCCCGGCGGTGGGTTTGCCATCTGCTTTTTTCTTTCTTCTTCGCTCCAATTAATATCTGCAGCGTTTGATGAGGGGGTGGTTTGGGTTGCGTGCCGCGCAGAACAAGGCGGCTGGGGGTTCATCTGGTTATGCTACAGAGTAAACTGCATTTGAGCTCTCTCCTTTTATTAGCAGTGGCCCTGGGATAATTGCTTACTCTGCTTTTTTAATTAGTTCTCTTGGGGGGGGGGTGGGGAGAAATATTTCTTTCAAGATAAAAATACATAGCCCTGATAATGTCATGTAATACTGGTTAGAGTCTGAGCCCTGAGAATGGTCCTTGCCCTGTCGGAGTTTCCTTTTCACGCCTGTTTCTGCACTACCCTTTTTCTTCAAACTCATAATAAAATACTTTGAGCAGAAGGATTTAGCCCTAGGTTTCATACCTGCGTTCATTATAGGCCTTATTGTTATCCTCAGAACAAACATAATCTTTTTGTCCCAAACTCTGTATTCTAAGCTTCAATTTTATTTATTTAGAAAATTGAAAGTGTAAGCTATATCCTCTGCTGGCACCTGAACCGAAATTGCGAGTTTCACTGCTGCTTTGCATTAGCGTTTTTCAAAATACACAACCCTGAGCACAGGCAGTAGCATTTCAATGAACAAAAATAGAAATGAGGCAAACACAAACAGAAGGGGGGGGGTTTATCATTAAATATATTTTTTTTTCCCTCCTGTTTACGTAGGTTCCTAAAAATTAGCACTATGACTGATGGAGACTATGATTATCTGATCAAACTCCTGGCTCTTGGAGACTCTGGGGTTGGAAAAACAACGTTCCTGTACAGATACACCGATAACAAATTTAACCCAAAATTCATCACGACGGTAGGGATAGATTTTCGGGAAAAACGAGTGGTAAGTTGTCTCATACGAATGATACCACCTTTTTTTTTTCTTTATTCATTTCTGCTGAGAATAAATTTTATGTCATATGTACTGCCTCTCTTACTATGGGGTATAGCATGTGTTGATAATGCTTTTCCTGGCCTAGTTTTTGGCTTAAGCAAGTCATAACTAGGAACTGGATAAAGGGGAAAGATGCCATTATTCTGGTGTTGGACTGTAAAGCGTTTTATTGCACATCGGTATAAAAGGGTCTTTCTGAGAGCAGGTTTCTGTAGCGCTAGTGAATGAGGTGTGTTTATGACCAGAAATAACTCTGGCCCCCAAACTCATAATTTAAATAGAAGAGATGAAAACTTAGAGAAGCACAGAAGTTTCAGCTTGCTTCCAGATCACACAGTAAAATAGAATCATAGAAGGCTTTGGGATGGAAGGGACCTTTCAAGGCCATCCAGTCCAACACCCTTGCAATGGGCAGGGACATCTTCAACTACATCAGGTTGCTCAGAGCTCCGTCCAGCCTGGCCTTGAATGTTTCCAAGGATGGGGCATCT